TKRWGKSSTKGSSYWGKSYKGGKTKAWGGATGGACTTGATGTTCTTAGAGCTCTTTTGCAACCCAAAGGATTCTATGKAGGGAGCTTTTTGCTRCTGGTGTGGAGTTGCTGAAGCAATYTTCAAGCTCTCAGCTCTTCAGGCAGAGACCAAATTGTTCCTGTAAAAGGGGAAGTCCTCCTGGAGTTCAGCAGGCTGCTAAGAGTCCTTCTGCATCCTGGGAAGCCCCCTTATCAAAACCTCTTCCTCTTAAAACCCTCAGGGTCTTGAGGCTGCGGTGTTCCCTCAGCTTTATCAGCAGAATCTGTCCACAGAGCTCACAGGAGATCACGGAACTCCCTGGCTATCACCAACCAGCCACTCCTTCCTATTTCCTCTGCTGAATACTTTCCCCCCCAGCAGCTTTTACAGGGGAAAGTCTGASAGAGCTGGGGGTGTTCAGCCTGGAGAAGGCTCCAGGGAGATCTCAGAGCCCCTTCCAGTGCCTAAGGGGGCTTCAGGAGAGCTGGAGAGGGACTTAGAGCAAGCACCTGGAGTGCCAGGACAAGGGGGGATGGCTCCACACTGCCAGAGGGCAGGGATGGATGGGATATTGGGCAGGAATTGCTCCCTGTGATGGTGGTGAGCTTCACCAGAGGGTGCCCAGAGAAGCTGYGGCTGCCCYTGGATCCCTGGAAGTGCCCAAGGCTGGGRTGGACAGGGTTGGAGTGACCCGGGCTGGGGGAAGGTGTCCCCACCCRTGACAGGGGGGGTGACACCAGTGGCCACAGGCACACACTGCAGTGCACGAGTGGCCACACACACACTTAGGTGTAACCAGTGCACACTCACAGCCCAGTGCACACTCACTCACATTCACATCCCAGTGCAATCTCACATTCACCCATGGTCCCACACGCGTTCCCTCACTCACTCTCACATCTCAAGGTGCACACACACATACTCACACTCACATTCATTCACACACATTCATTACTCTCACTCTCACTTACCCTCTCATATTCACTGACTTACATTCACATTCACTCTCATAATCCCATTCATTTACACACGCACTCACACATTTATTCACTCTCACATTCATTTGCACGCTCACATTCACATTCACTCACACTCAGCTTCATTCACTGACTCACATTGATTACTTCCACATTCCCTTACATGCTCACACTCATTCACACTCACCCACCCTCATTTATTCACATTCACACACTTTCACATTCATTCACTCTTACTCTCACACTCACCCACACTTGCTCATTCACGCTCACACTCACATTCATTCACTCGCACATTCACCCACCCTTGTTCATTCACTCTCACACTCACCCACACTCATTCATTCACACTCATACTCACACTCATTCACGCTCACACATTCATTCATTCTCACACTCACACTCATACACTCATTCACTCACACTCACACTCTCATTCACACTCACACTCACCCACACTCGTTCATTCACACTCACATTCATTCACACTCACATTCATTCACTCTCATACTCACACTCATTCACACTCACACTCACATTCATTCATTCTCACACTCACACTCACACTCATTCACTCACACTCACATTCATTCATTCTCACCCTCACTCTCATTCACATTCACACTCACACTGTCACACTCACACTCACAGTCACTCACACTCACATTCATTCTCACACTCACACTCGTGCACTCATTCATTCACATTCACACTCACACTGTCATACTCACACTCATTCACACTCACACTCACATTCATTCATTCTCACACTCACACTCATACACTCATTCACTCACACTCACACTCACATTCATTCATTCTCACACTCACACTCGTGCACTCCCATCCATTCTCTCACGGCCCCGCCCCCGCCCCCTCTGGCCCCGCCCCTGGCCCCGCCCCTCGCCAGGCCCCGCCCCTCCCGTGCCCGCGCATGCGCGGTGGCGGCGGCGGCGCGGCGGGCGATGGTGGCCGGCGGGGCGATGGTGGCCGGCGGGCGGGCGCGGAAGCTGGTGCGGCGTTACCGGCTGGCGGCCGCCACGGCCCTCGCCATCCTCCTGCTGCAGGGGCTCGTCCTCTGGAGCTCCGCCGGCCTCGACGAGGAGGGCCCGGCCGAGGTGCGCCGCGGGAGGGGGGGTGGGCGGCCCGGGGCCTGCCGGGGGCACGGTGAGGGGAGGGGGGCGGTAAGAGGGTGGCGAGCGGTGCTGAGGGAGGGCGATAAAGGGGCTCGGGGGGCTGTGAGGGGGCTGAGGACGGCGGGGGAAACAGGAGGCCTGAGGGGCTCGAAGGGAGGGTCATGGGAGGGCGATGGGTGCTGGGAGGGGGCTTGTGAGGGGGAGCCCTCGGGAGGGRCAGTGCCCTAGGGCCTGGAGTGTCCCTTTGCTCAGGAGCTGCGGAGGGGACAATGGGGCTGCGCTCTGTGGTGTTGGCAAGGCCCCGACCCGGAATGGGGTTCCAGGGGTGGGGGCTCCTGCAGTCCCACGCTGCTGGAGGTGTTGGCTGTGGGGTGGGCAATGGGATGTCGCCTGGGGGCCTCTGGCTGCAGCAGTGCAGGGTTACTGCTCCTGAGAAGGGGAGCTTGTGGCCCAAGGGAGGTTCATTGGGGTCTGGCAGTGAGTGGGGAGTGTGGAGGGCTTGATGGGGCTCTTGGACTTTTCTGTAGTTTGGGGAATGTTGTGGGAAGCTGAGATTGGGGCCACTCAAACCAGAAAATACTGACTGCAGAGAGCTGGGAAGTTTGTATCAGTTGCTTTGTAGCTGTTCCCTGTGAAGTGGGAGAGTACAAGGACCTTTTGAAGTCACAGATGTCTTTATACCAGAACACTCTGCCAAGGCCAAATGTGTCAATTCTTTCTTGTGAGCGTGGGGAGACTGATGCATGGGCTAGTGAAGGAGTTTGCCCAAGGTCGGACACAGAGCAGGTATCAAGGAGGACCCTGAAACACATTGCTACCACCTTCAAACAAAGCTCCTGCTCCCTGGATTATTTATTTGTATTTTTCTATGTGTTGGGAACTGCCCAGACTGTGTCCAAGTCCGCTATGTCTGGGTGAACGAGTGGCTTTGTGTGGAGGGTGATCCCATGGTCAGCAGGTCTAGACAGCTTTCCTTGAGAGSAAAGAGGTGAGAAGGGGAACAGGGCAGCCCCTTGTAGTGGGGAAGGTCTCTAAGGTGACACCACTCACTCAGCAGGTGAATTCCCAGCCTCAGGCCTTCTCCTGGGCCACAGGGAATGGCCATGAGCACCCTCATGTGCTGCCATACACCCATCACCAGCACAGAACCAGGSAATGAATGTGGCAAGGAGAGGATCGTGATCTGGAGGCACTGGCGGTGTGAGAGCAGACTGATCTGGCTCCAAGGAGTGCCCAACTGCTCCTTCCCCTGTTTTGTGACCTTGATCAAATTACTTCACCCGTCCCGGCTTCTCCTTGCCTCTGCACCATCCTGCACTGCTTGTCTGCTGTTCTCTGCTCCTGCCCTTCACAGCCTCCTGGGCTGGCTCATTTCTTGCCTGGTTTCCCCATGTCTCATCCCAAAACTGAGCTGGGCAGCTGACGAGTTTGGCCATGAGTCCCCTTTTCTAGAGAGGGGTTGCTTCACCGCCTGGGAATTGACAAGCCTCTTTGGAGAAAACAAACACAATCCTTAACTTCGTGGACATCCCAAACCCATTAGCAGGCTGGGAAAAGTCCAATTAGCCTTAATTTCTTATAAAATGCAAAGCTCTTTGTTTCTGTGCCCTCTTGCAGCTTCTGATTTTGGCCAGACCTAGAGGAGACACCATTCCCCTAAGGGCAGTTCTGGTAAAGTCAGAGGAACACTCCCAGGAGAGTCTGACCTTGCAGGCCTAGAAGGATTTGTGGAAGTTTGGAATTTCTTAATTGCTAGAGTAAATGGCTCCTTCCCACCACTAATGGACACAGCTCATCCCTACCACGAATGGGCTGTGACTGACTGTGGAGARTAAAAGACACTCAAGTCCAAGAAGCTCTGTGGAGCAAKCTGTGCCTCTTGGATCCATCAGTTYYCTTCCCAAGCCTAATTTTGGGGTCCTGCAGGCTCCCTGTATTCACTGAGCAGATGCTTTATGRGGTGCAGACCAGGAGCAACTGGATCTGTCTCCATTCACCTAAGTCAACACTCCTGGAAACCAAATTACCTCGTTCTACTGGGATCAAACAACATAATCCCTGTCCAGATACCTGGAACGGAGAGGAAATTCCCATTCCTGCTGTGAACAGCATGAGTGTGTCCCCATACAGGTGGAAGCTTGAGGGACCAGAGCAATCCTGTCTCTGTCACTGTGACACCAACAGCTCCCATGTGAGCACATGGYATTCCTGTAGCTCTTGGTTCATGGTGGGGAGCTGGCACCAGGAAAACCCAAACCCAAAGTTTCCTCTTGGGTGGAGGAGAGGATCTGTCACTGCAGTGAAGTGTTTTAGCCACTTGGTCTCCTGTCTTAGTCTTTCCAGGCAGGAGGTGGCACCTCTCTGGGGTCTGTGTGTTGGTGTCCTCTGTGTGCTGTGGCCACCAGAGAAACTTCTTATAAAATGTCTTTTCTACCAGAGAAGAGATTCGTTGGTTGTTACTTTTCCTGCCAAGAGCTTGTTTTTGGGGGGCTGATTCCAGCCATTTTAATTCTGGATTTCTCTGGTGACTTTGGAATGTTT